CTGACCCGTCTTCATGAGGAGGGTTGGACTAGATGACCCACAGAGGTCCCTTCCAACCCCTACCATTCTGTGATTCTGTGATCTGTGTTTCTTATTGGAATCTCTGTGCTGATGTCCAAAAGTCCCATAGGGCTCCTGAGATCAATCAAACCGTCAAACCCTCTTCCCCTGAGTGGGCTGTGCAGTCTCAGTTTCAAGCTGTGTGCAAGAGTCAGAGGTTTCGTGTTCATTCCCAGCCGGGGTTTTGCTGTAGGTCTTGGTGCCCATCCAGCTTCCTCAGACCCAGACATCCTGAGAAAATAAATGGCCAAAATCCTCTTCCTGGTGTCCTTCATTCACTGGGTAGCCAGTATGGTGATAAATTCAAAACTATCTTTCAGTACATCATCTACCCCTCATCTAAAGCTATCTTCATTTCCCATCTGGGTTCCCATTAAAAACATGTGTAGGGAGTTGCTAACGGCATCCATTTCCATTTAACAATACTGTCCCTTGGTTCCTGCTGCTCAGGCGGTGTTCGCTCCATGTGTGAGCATCCCTGGTGCTGCGGAGTTCAACCTCTGGTGTGCAACTTTTGCTTATTTCCTGAAAGTAAAGTATCTGTTCCTAATGCCCACTGTGACTTTATTGTTCGCAGAGCAGCTGTACCTGACAAGAAAAAGTAAAATGCCAACAGGTGAACAGGCATGCTTTCCCTGTTCTTTACAGAGGTTGGCTGCTAATTAATCTCTGCTGAGTGTTCCCTGCTTTATTTTCTGTCATCGTGTCTAAGATTGTCTGGGTATGTAATTTCTCCTCTGAGTTTCTAAATGTTGAGGTTATTTTCAGGCGCAAGGGAAAAAACGCTGCTGCTGCTGCTGTCTCCTCAGCTCCCGTTAAAATGAAGTTCTAGGTGCTTACATCACTGGCTAATAATATTTAAAACACATTTGTCTAAGGGACTCAACATCTTTATTAGTGAAGTAACAAATAAACCAATGTATTTTTCTATGTAATGGTAAATGTAAATAGTAAATTAAACCCTTTCTACAGAATATGTTGTATGTTACATGGGAAATTGCTGCCATCTTTATTTTGTGACCGTGAAATCACAAAGCAAGTCTACTCTCAATGCAAACTGCTGTTAGATTAGGGAAACCTCGGTTTATTTGTTTTCCTTTTTAATGAAAAATAACACTTTCCAATAGTATGGAAATCTGTTGCCACCTACCCAGATGTAAATACTGAGTGCTCCGTGGAAATACTGCAGTAATTCTAGATTTGGACTTCATGGCTGAGAACATAATATGCTTTTTATGTGAGCAATCAAATATTTATGAAGAATGGAACCAGTATGGAACCAGTGGTCTAATATGAACTGTGTGTTTTCAAAATGGGATAGATTGTTTGCATATTCTTCTTTCATTTCAGCTTTAAGTAATGGTTATCCTAAATACGGTGGGGTTTTTTTTTCCCCTCAAAATTTCAGATGGGTTTTCAGAGCTTGGAAGTTAACTCCTCTCTCAGAAATTTTTGTCCCATAATTCTGTTGTAACATTTCACTTTTTATGGAAAAAATCCTGAGGAAAGGTGTAACAGAGCAGAGGGTGCATTTAACTTACAAAGAGGTTACCTACAGATTAACTTCTATGTTAGAATTGTATGTATGTAAATGTACTGAATCCCATTCTGAGAAGAAATTTTGGGCCCCTGATTAGCGCTCACTAGGCTCTAAAATTCAGCATCACGGGAGGAAGTGGGGAGTTTCTGTTGATGATAGTGTCGGACTGAGTAATACGCCTCAAGACAGGACGAGAGGCAATGGCCTCAAGTTGCATCAGGGGAGGTTTGTATTGGATATTAGGAAAAATTTGCTTACCGAAAGAGTGGTCAGGCATTGGGACAGGCTGCCCAGGGAGATGGTGGAGTCCCCATCCCTGGAGGGGTTCAAAAAACATGTAGATGTGGCACTGCAGGACATGGTTTAGCAGGCATGGTGGTGTTGGGTTGACGGTTGGACTTGATGATCTTAGAGGTCTTTTCTCATGTTAATGATTCTGCGTGTCTGTGATAAGATGTGAAGGCCAACCTGGCACAGCGCAGACCCGGTGGAAGGTCCTCGTTTCTGGAAGGAAAAGTGGTCCTGCAGGAAAAATTGTAACATCCCCTGAAGTCATCTCATCAAGCCGCTTACTCTCAAGTACGGTGCAGTACAGCAGGATTATCCCTGATCTGTACTTGTCTGAAAGCTCCAACAGTTCAGCATTGTCTGTCCATGCAGAGTGATTTTTTTGGGTTAATGGTCTCAGCTGCCCTCCCCAAAACCATTGCTGCTCGTTTCCCCCCGGCAGCAGAGATGGCAGATGGGAGTATGTTGGAAATCCCCGGCTGCTGCAGTTCACGGTCTTGTCTTGAAGTGCTCTTACTTGTGGCAGAGATGTTACCTCGCTCTTCAGTTTGGGTTGGTTTTGTTCAAATTTGTTACGCCGTTGCATCAAAAGTCTTGGAGGTTTTTCCCTGAAGGAAGTGGAACTGCCTGAGGAATTGGGTCTGAAAACGAGTTGAAACGAAAAATCACCTTCGTTTAACTGGGTGGGCGGTTCAGAGGCGCGAGCACGTAGCGAGAGACGAGAACTGCGCCGTGCAAAACGTCCCCCAAAGATAGCGGCCACCGAACAGCAGCGAGCCGCGGGGAGCCGGGGAGCCTGCAGCCGTAGTTGGCCACGCGTCCCACATGCAGGCTGGGTCTCTCAGCCGGGAGCTGCATACAGATGTGCTTCGTGGGACCAGGCACAATTACAGTTTTATTTTCTGATTCCCATTAATCTGTCTGTGTGGCCTAGAGCGGAGTTTAACCTGGAGTCTGAGTGTGTTTCACCCACCCGCTGTGCCATCTTTTGAAGTGCCTGTCAGCGGCACTGCTGAAAGCTACCCCGCGTGCCTGCGCAAGGGCTGCAAAGCGAGCAGTGGGTGTTGCAGGTACACACATCCACACGCGCTCACGTAGGGATCGCTTTTCCGCCCGCTTTCAGCACCTTTTAAAAAGCTCATTGCGTGACAGCAGTGTCGTCGTCCGAGCCGTTTGCGCAGTCATTGCTGTTGCAGTGAGCAGGTTTGTCTTAGACGCCTGACTCTCAGATAGGGACAGCATCCCTGCGAGAGAGGAGCCGTGGAAAGGTGCGTTCGGAGGTGTCGGTTGATCTCCTGCTGCCACCTGCTGGGGTTTGCATCGGGAACCCCCCAGACTGGCGAGCGAAATGAGCCCCCCACTCCCCGCGCACAGCTCCCCTGCGCAGCCGCCCTGGTCGAAGACAAGAGCCTAGGAAACTAGTGTGTATACACCATCTGACAGGGTCGTCTTGATTACTTGTTGGGCAAAGTGATCTTTTAAACAGCCCTCGATGCTTCGAGATAGGTTTTTAAGAATGACTTTGCTGCATGAGTCCCAGCGAAGCATCGTTGTTAGTGTGGGCTGAGGATTTTTTTTGCTTTGTAAATTTTTGACATGTATCTGGAGAGAGAAAAACAATCAGTTTCTGAAAACATACTTTTTATTTATTTTATTTTTATTTATTTATTTTATTTTTATTCTTATTTTTTATTTATTTATTTCCCAACTTTTCCATTTAGCGGCTGTTCTGTTTTGCCTATGTCACCAACTAAAATTTGCTTTCTCTGAGAGCTGGAGTATATTGATATTTTCACTTAGTGGAACTGTAGATACAGCAAATACAAGGGTTCCAGTAACTCCAGTTCAATATATGCACTCAAAGAGGATGAAATTGCTCAAACTAAAGCAATTACGAACTTAATGTGGGGATTCTTAAACTGTGGTCTGCGGTTGCCATGGCAATCCACTCAAGTCAGTCCCGGTTAATATTTAAATAAACAAGCAGGCAAACGACTCTTTAAAAATTGAAACAAATTACTGGTGTTTATTTTGAAGAGTAAAGGAGGGTGATATTAGTGAGCTGTCTTGTGTCGAAGGTTATGCGACTGGTTATCATAGCTTTGCTTGGTTGGTTTTTTTCAATTTCTCTTCCTAGCTTTAATATTTGAATATATTAGAAAATTCTCTGGCACCTACGCAGCCCTGCTCTAAAAATGAGGCCATAATAAAACACTTAAAGCTTTGCTAAATGGCATGAAAACCAACAGCCAGGGGCTTTGATGGGATCTGAGTAAGGCACGGAGTTTCAAGATAATCCCACCCCAAGCAAGACGAAGAGCCGAGAGCTTCTAGCTCAGGCGGAGAAATCCCAGCAGGAGGAAGACGTGTGGGATAGAGGCGACATGCAGACCCGCATGTGTCCCGTGGCCCCGGGGAGCCCTCAGCATCGCCTGCCTTCCCAGAGGCGCGGGGAGCCCCATGGGGGCAGCCCGGGGGGCTGGCGTCCGACACATGGTGGTCGTCGGCGCACAGGTTAGCGCTGATCGTCCAACCTTGCTGTCCGCCGGGTCGTCGTTAGGAGCCGAGCTGACGCGGTTGAGCGTAGGAACCGTGCTAATCCCCTGCCTGCCTGCCTGCCTGTGTAATTTGAATTTTTTTTTCCTTGCAGATATACTTGAAAGAAATTTTGAGAGAAATAGGCATCTACAACGTGAAGGGGACCCACAAAAACACATGGGAGCTGAAGCCAGAGTACAGACACTACCAAGGAGAAGACAAGAGCGATTAGCAAAGGCATTTACAAAGCAAGAGAGAATTAGAGTGATTGCGCTGAGCGGACCGTGGTGGGTTTACAGACAGGACTGAGCACAGTGCAATTCTGCAAGGTTCAAGTTAAATCACAGCAGCTGATACTTTGTAATTTTCCATAGCTTCATTTTTTTTTCCAAGGAATATTTCTTGTATCTTTCTATAAGTGTTTTATCTTTTGACAGGAAAAAAGTATTTCTAGAATAAACTTGTATTTGTTTTGTCTGTATTAGAAATCTTTTGAGTTCTGATCTAACTTTTTTTTGGTAGCTTTGTGGCTTTTCCAAGCCTCAATGACATTGAAGGAAAACACGTCCTAGAGGAACCCCTAAATTTGTGGTTTCGCATTCCAGCAGAAGCAGGTTAATACCTCCCTTCCGCCGGGATCTGTCAGGGCTTTGTCTGGAAGGCTGCAAAAAAGCACAACCCTTTGTGCAGTGTTTGGGTGGAATGGATGTGATGCTCCTGTGGGATCAGGCTTTAGGAGAACCAGCCACAACCGTGGTGCTCTTCACAGTCCTTAGACTCCACAGGAACAAACCAACGCAGTCAGAAACCCCTAAAGCAGAGGCTGTGTGATACACGGGTCAGTGGGAAGACAACAAGCCCCTCCACATGATGACTGAGAAAAAAAAAACAAACATCTATTAGGTACATCAAAGAACAGATTTCTCTTTGGGTTGGTTTTTATGGTGTTACCTGTGTTTTATGTTTAAGCGCATCAATAAAAGCGTTATTTTAATTTGTACCACGCAATGTTCTACGTTATTGACTGAACACATGGTGTGATTTAGATAGCATAGGTGTGAAGTGTTTTTTTTCAAACCGTGTTTTTTGTTGTTGGCTTTGCCACTGGGTTTCTGTGCGTTTTGGGGAAGATTGCTTAATGTATCTGTGTGGCTGTTCCCCCGTTTTTGAAATGCACATTGCAAGGGCTGGCTGTTCAGCATCCTTTTTGGGAGGGGCCAGGGAGGGAGATGGGACGGGACTATTTAATTATATTCTCAAAGCTTTTTTTTTTAAAAAAAGACCAAAGAAAAGAGAGTGGAAAAAGCTCATTACTGTACCTGTAAATGAAGCAGAAGGTGAGATTTTATAGCACAACTTTCGCATTCCCTCCAGTTCTTCAGATGTGTGCATCTGAAGATGTGTGGCTTGACAGTTGGTCTTGATGATCTTCGAGATCTTTTCCAACCTTAATGATTCTATGATTCTGTGATCACTTCTGCACACAGTAATAAAATAATCGGTCTGCGTGAAAAGCAAACATTCCATTATTGGTCCACTTGGAAGCAATGAAAGGTTCGGAGGGGGGGTCAAATGCCTTCGGAGGGTTGTAAAACAACTCTTGACCCCCTTATGCGTAAGTCACACATTTTAATTTTGCCCAGTTCATTTTTTCTGGAATTGTTTGTCTGTCTCTCTCTCTGTAGATACGCTTCCTGCTGGTGCTCAGCTTTCCGTGGCATGAAGTGTTCAGTTCCTAGGAGGAACTGCTTTGAAGAGCAGATCACTTTCCAGGGATCTGTGTGTACTTTCATAAATACTGCCATTGACTTACTGTCTCCTCAGGCTCCGTGAGCCCGACCCAGCGTGCTAACGGCAGTAGGAGATACCTGAGGATGACGAGAGGAGCCCAGGAAGGCAGCCTTCATGTCTCACTACGGTACATTATGTGCTCCCCAGCGACAGCCAGGGCCTGTGCACATTGCTCTACCCCTCGTGCTGTTCAAGCCCTCCGGAGACTTGCATTCACAAGCACGTAGGGTGAAAACTCTTGCTTTTCATGAGCTGGGCTCCTTTGTTGGATTCATGTCCTGTTTGAGCATCTAAGGTCCCTAGAAGGTCCAGGTCAGCTTCTCCCTTGTGTTGCTCCTCACGTGGTCTTCTAAAACTGTGCAGGGGGATGCTGTGCAATCCCAGTTTATTAATGTTGTAGTTCAGTGCCACAGGTAAAAATGACCATGCTGTTTCAGAGAGAAAAGGTTACCTTTAGTGGGTTTCCCAGCAGGATTAGCTCAGCAGGGAAGTATTTCGGATCTGCTTGTATTTTTGGTTTTATGTGAGTTTGCTGCTTCACAGTTTGTCTTCAGTTGAGAGGGACATAATCAGTCAGCGTGAAATGCCAGAAGATCTAAGTAGGTATTTTATTGATCTGCAGAGTGCCTTTGGACAGGGTAAATAGGCTCTACTTAGGAGTAATGGAAAGTGTACAGAGCACACTGTTTTTTATGGGTTTTATGTTTTTTACAGAAGATGGATTTTTTACAGGCACCATTAAAAACGTGGAGAGTGCTAGAAGTAAACGAGCAGTGAAGTTTTCAACCAGCGAGCAACAGAAAGGTTGAAGAAAGCCAAGGTGCCCTGGTTTGCTTGCAGCCTTCTCTGCAGTAGCACGAGTTTTTAACGTAAAATGGAACTACGAAATGCTATGCCAGGATAAACTAAGAAAAGGTATCCAGTGGACAGTCCATAAGCCAGGGAGCTCATGAATTGCTTTTTTTACCTGCTTCCTGCATGACTTTGAAGGCTTTCTACCTTGTTAGGGTGCAACTGGAGTTTTAGCCCCAAAAGCAGCCACAAAATCCATGTGGCGTGAGAGAAGGGCACAGCAGCCCATAGAGATGCTGACCTAGAGGATGGAAGATGGTGTGCCAACACCAGGACCTGTGCCGTGCATTTGAGGACTCTGCCGGCTCCTGCCTGGTGGGAGCACACGGTAAAGGTGGAGGTGGAGTTGTTATATGCCATTGGCAGGTCGGATTCCAGCCTGCAGCCAAGCCACGGGGTCTTGCAGCACAAACCACCCTAGAGACAGAAGCAGCAAGGTAGGCACACTGCTATGGGCCCCATATTCTCCCTGCTAACTAGCGATAGACGAGAAGCAGTGGACTCAAGCTGTGTCAGGGGAGGTTTAGATTGAACATTAGGAAAAATTACTGGAAGAGTGGTCAGGCATTGGAACAGGCTGCCCAGGGAGGTGGTGGAGTCCCCATCCCTGGAGGTGTTTAAAAAACGTGTAGATGTGACACTTCAGGATATGGTTTAGTAGGAATGGTGGTGGTGGGTGGATGGTTGGACTTGATGATCTTAGAGGTCTTTTCTAACCTATGATTCTATGATTCTGCAGTAGCTCAATGCACTGCGGGACTGGTCTAACTTCAGGTGAGGCTGCGATAATGTTTTAGCATTTGAGGCAACCTCATTTGGATCCAGCACATAATAACCAGCAAAAACTCCACAGCTCAGCTCGGCTAGTTCTGCAAGGGGAGCTTACACAAGTGCTGTTAGCAGGATTGCCATCTGCCAGAAGAGAGGAGGAGGAGGAGGAGGAGGCTCGTAGGCGTTCAAGTCTGGTTCCTCAGCCCCCACATTTGGATTAATTTGAACTCGCAGCAATGATGAACACCGATTCCCTGCCGGTCTTCCCATGTGCTGCTGCCTCTGCTGGCTGCTGAACTCTGCTCCTGCAGATGTTCTTGAATATTAGGGGTCAAAACATTGGTCCACGAATGGGTCCCGTAGGCACGAGCAGAAGTATCAACGTCCTAAATGCCATTACATGAGATTGAAAGCGCATCTTCTCTCTAGCATTACTTCTCCCGGATGGCCAGTTCTTTGAGTCATCGGCAATTCCATACTCAGTAAGTCCAGGCGGTACCGGCACGGACCTGAGCCGATGCGACAGGCTGGTCCCAGTGCTGCCGTGCTCTGCTCCCCGCCAGATCACAGCTGCAAACATCTGCCTGCCTACTCCGCTGCCCTGCCTGCAGCCTGTGGGACAG